CAAAGACCCACATGCATCTGACGAAGTGGGTCTTTGCCCACGAAAGCTTATGCTCCTACACTTCAGTTAGTCTATAAGGTGCCACAGGACTCCTCGTTGCTTTTGGGGAGGGCTAGCCTCCCACTAGTTCGAATTAAGTGGCTACACAGCCCTTAATTTGAACTAGTTAATTCGAACTAGGCGTTAGTCCTCGTAGAATGAGGTTTACCTAGTTCGAATTAAGCACTCAGCTAGTTCGAATTAAGTTCGTATTAGCGGTTTGCCTGTGTGGCGCCTATGAAAGTGAATTCAAACTAACGGCTGAGAGTTTGCTCATATAAAACAAAGTAAAGCTGTAAGCAAGAGGCAGGCCCTTGTTCATAGAACTTGGCATGAACAGGGCTGATGGTGCAGAAAAAATAATTGGTACTAGACACAGGCTGTAAGCACATTTCAGAGGGATGGTAACAACACCTCATTAAGAAACATCTTGGTCCCAACACTCTCCGCACCGATAACAGGGACATATACACCCAGATTCAGGACAGGCTCTAAAACAGCCGCATGATAAGAGACATTTTTGATCAAACCACCAGCTGCAAGGTAAGGGGTGGCATCTACGGAACATCAAAGGGTGGCACCCTGATACGAGTGATGTGGGACTTGTTTGTATCTGTGTCTAAAGATGAGTCTTAAAGGAGCTGCTTTGTTCAGATTAGGGGGCTCTGAAGAATCCTGTGTCCATTGTCAGGGGGTAGGCCATATGTGGTAGATGAGGCCCTCAGCTTTCCTGGATCTGGCCCCTGAAGCTCAGGACTCCCCCCCCCAACACTGGGGAGCCCACACTGGCACTCCAGCCCCCCTGCTGCCCCACCACGGGGCTGAGGCACACAAACTCTACTAGCCTGGGCCCGCTTAGTCTCTGCTGTGCGAGGGGACTGTGGGGCGTGTCTTTCTCCTTCTCAGTCGGGGGCCACGGCAGTGAGGGTTCATTCATCTGATTAGTTGCTTTGTGGTTGTTTTCTTTTTTCGCTTCTCACTTGTGTGCAGTCCCCAACTAATTTTTCTGTGGATCATCAGCACCCAACCCCAAAAATGTTCCCCAGCCCTGGTGGTTCAGTAGAGTCTACTGACAACTATTCCTGTACTTCATTTGACAATAAACCTGGACTGGTGCCTTTGATCATCTGATTTTGTAATCTTTGGGGGCTCTCCCTGAATCTGATGTCTTGGCTACCTGTGCAGAGCCAGCACAGCGTACGGGGCAGCACATCCATGCAACCAATCGCTTATCGCTGAATGGAGTAGAATAGCTCAGGACACCCCACTGGTGACTTCTGACCCACATCTGATGCTGCATTCTGCAGCAAATAGCAAAACAAAAATAATTAAGATTCCCGTGGAAAGAACTTCATTCTCTATTCAATTCTGTTGGTTTTTCAGAGTCATTTTTATAGGCCTGTACTAACTTCATATGCAATCATATTGGTAACATCACTATTAAATTCTATGGGTCTTTTCTGTAAGGGCATTTCCATAGATTTCAAAGCACTTTCAAATATTGATTCTCATCCCCCCATGGAAGTATTACTCTCTCTATACCACAAATGGGAGGAACTAAGGCACACTAAAATGACAAGACTTGCTCGAGGCCACACAATATATCCGTGACAAAGCCAGGAACTAAATGCAGATCACCTACCTCCTAGTCCAGTGCTTGAATCCCCAGTCCAGACTTTCACCCATCTATACGAACAGCAATGGAGTTTTTTCAGACATCCAAGTCATTGGTTGGACCTTTCAATGGTTCAGTGCAGCCTTAAGCCGCTTCGTGTGCTCCAAACCCCTCCTCTCTGCTCCCATCCCAGAGCCCACATCCCCAGCCAGAGCTGCAACCCACTACCCCAGCTTGGTGAATGTGAGGGAGGGAAAGGCGGGTGGTTTGAGGAGGCGGGGCCTCAAGAAAGGGTGGAGCAGGGGTGGAGCCTTGGGAAAAGAGCAGGGCAGAGGAGGGGCAAAGGTGCGTGGCTGTGTCATTAGTGGAAGTTGGCAACTCTACTGATGTGCTGGCTCCAGCTGTGATCAATAGCGGAGGCCTCCATTGTGTATCAGAGGAAAAAATCCTTCTTGTCCCCTGTAGGCGACCATATATATAGCCCCTTGCATAAAGCCACAGCTGACACTTCCAGGAGAAAGGGAATTTAATGATCATTTCTGCCTACTTCTGATAGCCCCAGTTCTGACCACTGCAGACCCAAGGTAATATCTGAGTTCACTCATAGGGTCAGGATCCTGCTGCACTGAGAGGCTGGGAATGAGGATCCGAATATTAGCTGTACACAGGGCCCGATTAAGACATGCTGAGGCCCTAAGCTATGTCAAGTTTAAGAGGCCCCATAGCATCACCCCAAAAATGTTTATTATTCTAACAGAAAGGACAATGAAAATAGACATCATAAAGTTTTATATTTACATATATACTAGTACATAGGCAAGGATGCAACTAAAAACTAGGAGGCCCCCCTATAATCTGAGGCCCTTACTTAGCTTGTGAATAAATCTGGCTGTACTGGACTGTAGCTCCCCCTTGCACCAGGAATGTGATTTCCAAGACGTGAATCTGGCTGCCTTCACAATTGGAGAGCTTCCAAAGCCTCCTGCTTGCTTAGCTGTAAATACACTGGCATGACACGTTTTTGCAATGGGTGCTATATTAGGAGCAGGATCTAAAGTAGCGAGGCCATCTTGTGACCACCATCCGCAACTGCACTTTTCTGGTTTGTTTTCATTTCAACTCCCAAGTGGGGTGTCCCCAAGCAGTCCTAGTGAGAGTTTCCAGTCAGGGTTTGGGGGACTGAAGCATGCAGCAGCATAGATAAGGAGTCAGCTGTGACCCCAAAATTGCTGGGAGCGGTTTGGCTCATTCCATCAACTTCTTATGTGTTCCGGCTTTGGAACAAGTTACGTGATGACAGCAAAAGGAGACAATAGAAATAGCACGCGACCTCTGGAGCCAGCATGGCATAATGGCCTCCACCTACCCTAAATATTTACATGGGAACTTGCTGCTTAAAGATACAATTTAAATACTGCTCACAAATCAGTGTTACAGTTAAATTGGGCTGCAGAGCCCTGCCTAGGCTCCTGACCTTCCCACGCACCAGGCACTAGCTGCTAGTCCAGTCCTAGGGGCCCAGGGCAGAGCTGCTCATGCACCTCCATGCTGGCCTGCAGCATCCCCTGCTCCTCCAGTTCTCTTTCCCATCCACCCTGCAATGCACCTGAGCTGCAGGTGCCTCCCGATATGCCCCAAACACCATGGTCCTGACCAGAGCTCCCTGCAAGCTGAACATTTGGGCAGTCACTCAGAGCAGATTCAAATGCTGCCCAGCTGATCAGCAGAGCATCCGCTCCATAGCAACAGCATGTGTTTGTAGTGGTGGTGCACATCTGCACAGGCTTCAGTGCACATAAAATGTATTCCACTCATGGATGGAAAAAAATTAAAAGGAATGTTGGTCCTGACCTGCAAACACTTTCTCAGGCCTAAAATCAGCCCTGCCCCACTGAAAAAAACCCAAACACAAGCTCTCCT